CCCACTTCTGAATTCTCTGATACATAACTTTAAAAGAAGGAAACTGGCCCAGCTGGTGTGGCTCAGTGGTTGGGCATCCACCTGTGAACCAGGAGGTCATGGTTCGATTTCCAGTCAGGGCATATGCCCGGGTTGCAGGCTCAATCCCGTGTGGGGCGTGCAGAAGGCAGCCAGCCAATCAATGATTCTCTCTCATCATTGGTATTTCCATCTCTCTGAAATCAATAAAAACATTTTTAAAAATAAATAGAAAACTGAATAGTACACTATAAAGAATTTGAAAAAAAATAAGATTTTTTTTAAATCTATCCAGATGAATTCAACATGAGATATTTTTTAAGTGGTATGGCCTCATCCAAGAGCATAAATTACATACAACTTATGTCAAATACTTTACGTATTTATTTCCATTATTTGAACTTGACTGCTGCATTTTATTAGGAAAAGACCTCACAGCACATAATACAGGCTTGGGGAAAAGCTACTCTTCCTGGAAACTCGGCAGGGTTTTCTTTCTCTCAGGGAAATTAGTTTCTTCAAACCCAGAAAACAAAGCTTAAAGTTGGCATCCTCCATCGTCACTGACCTCTGCTAGAGGTCCGAATGTTTTCTTAAAAAGAACAGACCCTTGACATCTTAACGTCTAAGTCTTGAGCTCTTTGCTCAAATTCAAAACTACTCCTGGATAAGTTGACAAAGTTTCTGGTTTTCTTTAGAATTCCATTCTTATCTTGTGTCATAAAGTTTCTTATACATACTTCCACACCCAAGTTATTCTTCTTTTTAGCTCCTCTAATTTAATGGCCACTGTATCAGCCAAAATGAAACAAACCAGGTGGCTTACACAATGGAAAGGCATCGTCTCACAGTTGAGAACAGGAGTCTAACATCACAGTGTCGGCAGGGCTGGTTCCTCCTGGAGGGCTGTGAGAGACCGAACCTGTTCCATGCCTTTCCGCTAGGGCTGTGGTTGGCAAACTGCACTTGTGAGCCACATGCAGCTCTTTGGCCCCTTGAGTGTGGCTCTTCCACAAAATACCACGGCCTGGGCGAGTGTATTTTGAAGAAGTGGCGTAGAAAGTTTAAGTTATAAAATGTGGCTCTCAAAAGAAATTTCAATCGTTGTCCTGTTGATATTTGGCTCTGCTGACTAATGATTTGCCAGCCACTGCCCTAGCTTAATCTTCGGCATCCCTTGGCTTAAAGAAGCGTCACCCATCTGTCTTCACCTTCATATAATGTTCTCCCTCTGTGCTTGTTCAGTTGCCATCTTTTTATAAGGGACACCTATGATATTGGATTAGAGCCCACTCTAAAGATCTCACCTTCACAAACTATATCTGCCAAGACCCTACTTCTAAATAGGGTTCCTTCACAAGGCAGAGTGTTAGGACTTTTGGAGAGGAGAATGATTCAACCCATAGCGGCCATTTTGCACATGATAAAGCTTGATATTTTCCAGTCACTGCATATTGTTTGAATAACTGCTGGATTTGCCATGCCTCCTGGAATACAGGAGGAGCTCAATAAACACTCATTTGAATGAATGGGTGAATAAATGAGTCTGCAAGTGAGGGGGGAAAAAACCAAAAAACTGTGGATGCTCAGAGTTGAGCTTAGCTAACTCATTAGCTGAGTAATGGAATTTAGCAGGAATTAACATGTGCCGTGGCAAAACTGCAAAACACTATATGCCCCATGAATCTCTTAAGGCCCCTATGATAACTCGTAAATGTGACAACTCACAAATGTCAACTCAGAAACTATTATACAGGTATATTCTTTTAATAATAATTTATTTCTTAAGGGAAAAAATAATACAATATCAGAAATAGGGTATCAAATGAATTCAGTTTAAATAAGTTAAGAAATGCATTATTGAGAGTGCCAAGATCACTAAATGAGACAATATTAGCCAGATACATTACAACATGATCTGTAGGTAGTCCACACTGTAACACATCAGAGATGATTCCTTGTTATGGTGTACTATAGCAAACTGTGTACTATAACAAGGAACAGAAGGTATTCTTCTCTATTTCTCCTAAACATCTCATTCAGATCTTATCACCATGAATTTCCTGGGTGCTTGGCTTTAAAATACTGTATTACTATCAACTTTACATTCAGGCCCTGGGTAGGTCTACATTCATTTCAGCAGAAGCTTCTTGAAATGTTGAATTATCATCTCCCATTTCCCTCCGTCATTTATTGTGGCTGCCAAACCGAAATGGTATGCCTTACAGGCAACACTAAACTGAAAGCAAGTAATAGAGAGTCTCTTAAATGTTTCATTTATAAAAGCTGATTTTTCCCACCATCAAATGTTGTATATTGCCTGAAATATATCACTTTACAAAATAGACAACTTGCATGCAGCTATTCTGCGTGGTACATTTGCTCAATTCAAGGATGGGGGAGGTGGGTGGCGGCAACTGGCATTTTTTCAACCCTTTGTGAGCAGAGGAGTAATACAGTCAGGACAGTTTGGGTTTGGGCTTTTGTGAGGAGGAATTAAAATTAAGCCTCAATGGGCAATAGGTATCACTATAACTGTCTCCTTTTCTGGATAGCTGTACTACCTCCCAGGTTATATTAAAAAATATGCAGTAAAATAAACACTTTAAAAAGGCACATGGAGTGGCGGGTCTATGACAGCTCACTCTGGTAAGAGAACAAATCTGCAAACTGAACACATTCTAAGCATTTCCTTGAACTTATACAAGCAATATATAGCGAATTAATGAAGAACAAGTCTACAGAATTCTATAATAAAACCTGTACACCTTTCCCCATAATTGTGATAGACAACTGAAATATTAATATAAAAAACAAAATATGGTTTGTATTTCTAAATGAAAGACTTTTAGACGAGGATATAGAGGAAAGGAAATGTTTTTATTGGGAAAGCACACCACATTTATATAAATGAGACTGCAAGTGATAAAAACAACTGTGCATGCTACCAAGCTCATTTGGTCCAAGAGCCACTGAATTTATCTGAGCAAGTTTAGTAAGCATGCTAAGGAGGGAAAAATGAGATGACAGTGCTTTTTTTCTTCCCCTTTACACATCAAACTTAGCAAATACATAAGAATCAGAATCACTGTTCAAATCTTAGTTAATATCACTTTGTAAAGCCAAAATGTGATGTTTTTGCATAAAATTAGTTTAACTGTATCATAGCTGAGTGATTCCTAAAACATCTTATATTCCAATGACCTACTTAAGAAAACAGTATCTGTTCTGGCCAGCAAGGCTCAGTGGTTGAGCATCAACCCCCGAACCAGGAGGTCACAGTTCAATTCCCATCAGGATACATGTTCGAGTTGTGGGCTCAGTCCAATGCGGGGTATGCAGGAGGCAACCGATCAATGACTCTCTCTCATCATTGATGTTCCTATATCTCTCCCCCTCTCCCTACCTCTCTGAAATCAATAAAAACATATTTTTTTTAGAAAGGAAATAGTATCTGTCTTCAATGCATGGTTCAGTTTTGAAGCATTTCCTGGCTACATTTGTAGCTAATCTTCAAAGCCTTATTTAGAAATAATGCCAACCCACTCCTAACAGCTAAGTAGAACAATTTTTAATCTATAGGGTATTTTAAAAACCAATCAATTTGCCATAACCTCCTAATTCCAGGAATGTAAACCATAATTCAAGCTTCGATTTTTCTCTTAACATATTCTACTTTACTAAAATGAATTCTCATCCTGCAACTCTGAACAAGAAAATTGTACTTAAAATAATATTAAAAGACAAAATCTCATTATTTAGTATTAGATTAATAGCCTATAATTCTAGCCTTAAAAACATCTATTGCTATAACCTCCCCAACTTATTAATTCCCAAGGAGATTAATAAAGGTGTAATTAACATCTAAACTTAGAGCAGACTGCCATTTGGAACAAACCGTGTTAACAATAACGGTACCAGAGTCAACGAGATCAACCCCTCACCCTTTATGGTTCTGACGAAGGTTAATGAGCACAATTTGTCATTATTTTCCAGTAACTGAAAATCTGAATTGAACAAAAAGACTCCTTTTTTCAAACACTTTATAAAAACAGAACAAAGGCTGAAATCGTCTTATTTAAAACCCAGCAGTGTTTGGCAATGGAAATATCAGTAACTATATGTGAAGTGAATAAACAAATAAGCAACCCAATGCACTACTACCATTCAGCTCCTTTTTATGTGCCAAGTATTTAAAATTATATGAAATAAAGTGAGATACAATCAAACTGTTTTCTTTAATCCTCACCTGAGGATGTTTTTATTGGTTTTAGAGAGAGAGGGAAGGAGGAGAGAAATATTGATGTAAAAGAAAAATCATGGATCAGTAACCTCCCATACACACTCTGGTAAGCACCCTGACCAAGGATCAAACCTGATACCGAGGTATGTGCCCTGACCTGAAATTGAACCCCGTGACCTTTCGTGTATGGGACAATGCTCCACCCAACTGAGCCACACTGGGCAGAGCGCAAACTGATTTCTATTTCTACTAGGAAACACTGAAAAATTATTCACCAAGAATCTCCAATTTAACAGAATATAAAGTTGGACATTTACTAAACCTATAATTTGGCTAATGATTTTTCTACAATTGTGTATTTTTTTTTAATGAAATTAGAAACATACAGAAATGCAAGTTATAAAAATTTCTTTGCAATAAATAAGGCATGTACACTGCACTTAATTTTAATAACACATATCTTTCATAAAAAAGTTTAAAAATAAGCCAAAAATGTCAATGAAAGAGAAAAAATGAAATAACTATAAATGTTCTCCCACTTCAAAAACTGTCTGACATCTGAGCCAGAAGACTCTGTATCTATCAGGGACTTCCTCTTCATGTCACAGAAAGAGTTCAACATGCTTTACAAAATCCATTAGTTTTTAAGACCATTTCCAATATCTGCTACCATAAATCAAGAAATCCATTTATTCAAGGTTACTTATGGAAAATTAATCACACAGAAAATTTTAACTACTTCTTTTTCACAAATTAAAGTACTTTACTGTATTTGGCATTCCTACACATGATGTGGATTCAAAGACTGAAAACATTAAGGGAATATAATTAAAATTCATAGGCTTAGCCATAAAAATAATTTTAATATTAGAGTTATCTATAACAAATATTTCAACAAAATAAATCAGAATATAAACACAATAAAATGTAATTTTAGCTTTCTCCTCTGCGTAAGTGGAAGTTAACATAGAAAGTTGTTCCAAAATGCTTTTATGTACTTGTCATGGCCTCAAACTCATGTAATCAAACATGAAAAGTGAGACCGACAGAACTGTGGGCACTATACATCAGGAACAAAACTCATGAATCTCTTTATTCCTAATGATTTCTAAAATTTATTTTCCCACTTTCAAGGGCAAGTTTACTCAAAAAGAGAAGAATAAACGGGTCGGCTACACAACACTTACATCCTTTATTGACAGGATGTAGCCATTATGCCCAAATTCAGCCATCAATTATAACTTCATTTCCCATCCACAATTAATGAGAATATATTTTACTTCAAATGGGACATATAGGCAGCGTGCCAAAAGTTAAAGTATAACCTTAAAGTCTTAAATTCACACTTCAAATATCAAAAGAAGCAATTCCCCAAATCATGAAAACATGATGAAATAACACACATTTAAGTCATTTCACTTTTTCTTGTGTATAGTGAAAACAGATGTATTTATAACTTCAGGCTTCAGAAAGCATACTTCATAAAGTCATTATTCATTTAAAATAGGCATTTGTTTACAAAGAACATTTAACTTACATTTCATAGTTGCTTATAAAATATTGATAGTACTTGAAAGATTGACCTATATAAGGAAACAAGAGCCCTGTCAAGAGAGATGGTAAACTATAAATATAAAATATACCACAAGATTAAAAACCTCACAGTGTGCTATAGGAAAATCAATAAAGATAACTTCATCTTTCTGGGGGGAAATGTATTTAGCATTACAAATTCAAATGTAAATTTTATATATGAATTCAATAAGGAATACCTTAAAACCTTGCATTGCCACATAATCACCATCTATTTTGTGTTACACAATAAAAATAATGTACTTTTTGAACATGTGTACATCAAAACCAGAAGGTTATTTTTTGCTTTTCCCTTTACTGGCAACTTTGGATGCATTTTTAGGTTTTGGTTCCCAGAGGGCATTTTTCACAAATCTTGACGCTGCACCTTTGTCCAGCTTGGCAGCCTTCTTCTTGTCAGTTATTTCCTTGACTCTGTTCATGTATACTCTGATTCTTTCCTTAAAGAGAAAGAGAGAAAAAGGAAACAGATTTACTAAGCTGTTCACTACCAATAGGTTTTTATACTGTACCTCAGTTACATTCAATAGACACGTACTTATCTATGAGGGGGAGCTAGCAAGTCCATGTGAACAGATAAACATGCCGTGCTCTCCTAGAGTTGACACTCCAGGGAAACACAGGCATTACAAAGTCGTTTCAAAAGAGGAGAAATTATACTGACATCACTCCAGAGATAAACACTGTAGTGTTTATATGTAGTTATAGTCTTAGATTTAGCATTAACCTAAATCCACATAATAGCTCTTATTTACCTAAAGTCTATAATCTAAAATAGAGACCTCATATACTTGCAACATACAAACTAAACGCTCTAAGCAGCCGAAATCGGTTTGGCTCTGTGGATAAAGCGTCGGCCTGTGGACTGAAAGGTCCCGGGTTCGATTCCAGTCAAGGGCATGTACCTTGGTTGCGGGCACAAACCCAGTAGGGGGTGTGCAGAAGGCAGCTGACATATGTTTCTAACTCTCTCTCTCTCTCTCTCTCTCTCTCTCTCTCTCTCTCTCTCTCTCTCTCTCTCTCTTCCTCTGTAAAAAAATCAATAATATATTTTTTAAAAAGCATGTTTCATGAAAATAATCAAAACAGTGACATAAGTTGGGAGTTTTGTTTTTCTGACACAGAAAAATGCAGAACCATGGAATTTTTTTAAAAGACTGACAACTCAGCTCAAAACCCTCTCATGGCCCCAACTTCTCTGAGAATAAAAGCCAAAGTCTAGCCTGGTGCTATTTTTAATTTCTTCCCATAATATATATTATTTATCCCCTAATATATCATGTATTAACATATATTTAATATTTGCTTGTTTATGTTATGTTATGTTAATTGTTTCTTTCCACTCCCTAGGCTGATATCTGCCTCAGGAGAAGGATATTCATGAGCTCTATTCACTGAGGAACCACCTCACTCAAAAATAATCCCTGGCTCCTCCCAGGCACTCAAGCATTTGTTGAATGAATAAATTCACCAGTTTCAATGCCTTTCCCATTCATGATATAACTTGCACACACCAACTCTATGATCAATTAGTGATGTCTGTCACAAAGCCATAGAAGGATAAAAGGTTATATATTGTCAGCCCTTGACCATAATGTGAATGTACTCCTCCAAAAAGTGGGTTCTAAGAGAGAAAGAAGACAGATGATTTTATATTTTTCCAATGACAGAACCAAGTATTAAAATTCTCCAAATAACTTGGTGTTAAAAGAAAAAGAGAAATTTTATAAAGGTACAGTCCATAGTAGAGGGTTGAAAACAGATGGTAAAATGCATACTTTTTAAAATATATATATTTTATTGGTTTTTTACAGAAAGGAAGGGAGAGAGAGAGAGAGTTAGAAACATTGATCAGCTGCCTCCTGCACACTCCCCTACTGGGTATGTGCCCGCAACCAAGGTACATGCCCTTGACTGGAACCAGACCTGGGACCTTGAGTCTGCAGGCTGACACTTTATCCACTGAGCCAAACCAGTTAGGACATACTTCTTTTTAAAGCCAATATCACTGCACAGATCAAGGTCTGTGTATCATATTGCTTTATATTTTGCCTTTGGTATTTTTTCACAATTTCTGTATTTAAAAATAAATTTATTTTCCCTCAAGAACTTTAAAAGAAAATATTCTAGTCCAGACATTAACAAAATGAAGACAACAGATCTGGTTTATTCATTTTTTAAAAGTAAATGACCATGTACTTTACTGTAGTTGATATGTATGTTATATATAACTTAGTAAAGCATATATATCAACTACCATAAGACTTAAGGACAATCATACAATGTCAAGTGTATTCACATTTATATTTACTTTATATTTTATAAACACAAAGAATAAATTAATATTCTTATTCATAAAAGGAAGTCAAGAAGGTAACCATAGTTTGATTTCTGATTTTTCTCTTTTAAATTGAATGATTTAATTTTTGAAGTCAGCAAAACCTCTAAGATACCAGACCTTATATACAGTACTTATACATCTAAATGGAATACAAAGACAAACCTAGAAGATTTATTACAGGTTGTAAATATGTCACTAATGCAGAATTACTGGACAGTACACATACAACTGGTGCCAAAAAAGCTTTTAGCTTTGTTGCTGAACTGGATTCTTTACTGCTGAGAAAATGAATTAATGGAAGAATTGAAAAGGTGGGGGAGAAACTTTCCCGTCTTTGCTAGTAAATCAACTAGAATATACTTTTAAGAATTGTGTAAGAGTTTAAAAAAAAAAAAAAAAAAAAAAGGCAGTTGTAGAGATGAACAAGATTTCAAGAATTTATAGGCAAAATAATATGAAGTTATAAATAATTACTAGAATCATAACATTTTTTTCTCATCCAGAGATATAGATAATATATATGGAGCACCAATTCTCTGACAAAGAAAAGGAATAACTAAAAACATGCTGAAATCTGGACTAACTTTCATAATTTCAACTCTGAATAATTTTATTCTCTGCAATTAGTGTGATAAAGGTACTATAACTTTAACTTCAGGAATACCACAACAAACAGCCATGTAAAGTAAAAGAAATCCTCTGCAATCTTACCAATTCTTGCTTTACTGGGTGTTCCTTAGGATTAACTCCCTGAGTTGACAAATAAACTGCAAGAGAAAGATTAATGAGATAAAATGATGTATATATTAATGAAGAGCATTAATTAAAGAAACAAATGTCACACAAATAACTGACTAAATCTTATTATTCAACTTCTATGTAATAATAAATATGTGTGGCTCATGAGCATATGGCATTTTTATTTAAAAGAAATACATACTGTATCTGACTATAAAAATTGTCATAAAGTATAATTATATATAAAGTGCTAGCATTTAAAAAATAAATCACCCTTGCCGAAACCGGTTTGGCTCAGTGGTAGAGAGTCGGCCTGCGGACTAAAAGGTTCCGGGTTCGGTCAAGGGCATGTACCTTGGTTGAGGGCACATCCCCCGTGGGGAGTGTGCAGGAGGCAACTGGTCGATGTTTCTCTCTCATCGACGTTTCTAGCTCTCTCTCCCTTCCTTTCTGTAAAAAAATCAATAAAATATATTTAAAAATAATAAAAAATAAATAAAAAAAATTCTTTGTGATACAAAAAAAATAAAAATAAAAATAAAAATAAAAATAAAAAAATAAATCACCCTTGACTCAATAAATAATTTTTCTTGTAATTAACTCTAAAGTAATATACATACCCCAAAACATTGAATTTAATGTGTAAGCAGAAACTAAATCCACTTTTGCTTGTTCAAGAGGGTCCAACTATTAGAAAGAAAGAGAAAATAAATTCAAACTTTGAGAACCATCACATATTTTAAATTTTTACCTAGCACAATGTTTCCAAGAAATGTCTTTTTCACGTTTTATAATCCTATAACCAAATGATCTGGAAATAATTTGCAAAAAGAAAAAAGTTTATTAACCAGTGATTTTTGCCCAAAATTTTTCAATTCAGAGTATCATCTTTAGTTAGACAAGGAATGTGTATAATCCAAGAAAAATTCTTTTGAATTATTTTAATTTCTGGAGTTATGATCTGGGCTTTGTATGTCAAAAGTAATTTATCAATATAAACATAGTACATGATGCATTTATGTATAAGAAGCAGGCTAAAATGCTTAGGCAATACCAAAGACAGAAGAAACATAATGAGATTTGTTTTAGACTGTCAAAGTCAATTTACTCTTTTTGTCCTATAGGGTTTCCAGAAACCCTGATAACATCATTGTAATACTTAAAAGGTCAAAGATGGAGTCTGTGGAAAAGAATGCTGTGAGTGTTCCTTTTGGTTTCCAAAACCAAGTCAAAATAAAAATATAGTTAAGAGGTATTTCCGAAGGTTGGAGTTTTGTTTTTATCCCCTAAAAACACCCAAACACTTATAAAATGGAAATAAAGGAGGAAAGGAGCATGCATATATCATGAACCTGTTTCTTAGCACAACACTGTGAGTACCTTCTGCAACAACTCATTTCTAGAAACAGACATCATAGTCTTCAGCATGTCATCTACGGCCCCGATGGAATTCTCAAATGCTGACAAATACTCATGGATTTCTGCTGGATAGTCTTCATTAATTTCTTCTTCTGCCATTCTGATCTACGGGGGGGGGGGGGGGGGGGGGGAGTAAATTCTTAGAATTCACAGTAGAGACAGAGATTGTACTTTAGGTTTAAAAAAAATCAATAGGTCATACCATGTACTTCAAAATGCTAAGAGTTAAAACCTGAAGATAATTAAACAAATCTAAGAATATAATTCTAGAGCAACTACAAACTTCCCCTCTTCTTAAGTTGCTTGGGAAGGGGGATGGAGTGGAGAGCAGGGGACAGACCCACCCAAGTTCACTAAAGCTACACACCAAACTCTGAGTGCTTTTCACGAAATAAAGACATGACTACCAAACACAGAATATCAATATTCAAAATCCTAGATTTAAAAAACTTCCTGACAAAGTTCAAGACCAAGCAAAGCAATGAAAGTGTGATAAGTATATCCCCTAACGCTTGCTAAAAAATAATAAGCTCTTTTTATTTTCAAAAATACATATTTTAGTCCTTCCAAACCTAGATGTTGATCTAGCAGCATGGTATATTAAACTAAAAAATGAGAAAAGCTAAGTCTGAAATATCTTAAGATTATTTATCACTAAAACCATTTTCAGGCCTATATACATATCCCTTAAGCTTCTTTAAAATATTAAGAAGAAACTCAAAGAGCTCATAAATCACATAAAGCAGAAAAGAGGAAACTTGAGAGAAATAAACTATATGGTTTTCATTTAGGCTAGAGCATACTTTGACAGCCCATTCTTTTAAAATTCACATTTATATAACAATACTTAATATCTATGTGAGAAAATGAAAAATCCACATCAATGTATTTCATATGGAATCTAAGGCCAAATTTCAGAAGCAATTCTAAGCCATACATACATATCTTATGTTTTAAAACAGTTTTTTTATTAGCTGAAAATACTTCATTCATTACATAGCTAAAGAGAACAGCAAAAATGTAGTAAAACAGCACATAGCATAGCAATTGAAGTAATAAGACTTGGGCTTTCTATCTTGCTTGATCACTAACTCTGTCACCTTAGATAAATTACTGAATATCTCTAAGGCCTCAAATACCTCATCCATAAAATGGTCTAATGATCTGTAAAGGACCCTTATTGTTCTAAATGCTATGACTATGTTATTTAAGTTTAAAAAGTGCTATTTGAATATTTAGTCATAATATATCCACATTTCTATTCAACAAGTATACTAGTATATGCTAGAGATATCTGCATTCATTAAAAAAAAAAAAAAAAAGTGAAGCCCATACTGTAAAGTTATTATCTAACTACTATGCAACCAGCAATTTAACAAAGAACTTCCCTAGCCAGTGTGGCTCAGTGGGTAGAGCACTGGTCAAAAGACCAAAATGTCCTGGGTTCGATTCCAGTCAAGGGTAAGTACCTTGGTTGCAGGCTCCTCCCCAGCCTGGGTCCAGGTTTGTGCAGGAGGCAGCCAATCAATGTGTTTCTCTCACATCGCTGTTTCTCTCTCTTTCCCTGTCTCTTCCACTCTCCCTAAAAATCAATAGAAAAACAATGCTCGGGTGAGGATTAACAAAATAAAATATATAAAATAAAAAGAAACAAAGAACTATGGTAAAAGAAAAACACTGGGGGAAAACTTGTGACTTATTTCAAAAGGCTAACTGAAAACACATACTTGCCTCTCACCCCTCCAAAATGAAGAAACATAAATATAAGTCCACAGTAATGCTAGAAACCAAAAGAGGCGCATGCCTATCAGCCAATCCAACAGTATAAATTTTTGAAGCTAAAGAGCAAATGGGGTCAGACTAATCTATCTGCCCTCTCAGCAGCCTCTGTGCCCTCAGCTCCTCCCACGCCAGCCCTGGCTCATTCCACTCTAGTCAGGACGACATCACTGCCCTTCCCCGTCACAGCAGGCCCTGCCCTACCTTTGGGCCTTTGTACTTCTCCCCCCTTCCTAGAAGGTCCAGTTCCTCCTCTCCTCCCGGACCAACAGCTTCAGAGCTTATTACTTTACCTGCCAGATCTTTACTCAAATGTCACCTATTGGTAAGCCTTTCATGAACACCCTCTTTAAAATGCATGCCCGTGCCGAAACCGGTTTGGTTCAATGGATAGAGTGTCGGCTTGGGGACTGAAGGGTCCCAGGTTCAATTCCAGTCACGGGCATGTACCTTGGTTGCGGGCATATCCCCAGTAGGGGGTGTGCAAGAGGCAGCTGATAGATGACTCTCTCTCATCAATGTTTCTAACTCTCTCTCTCTCTCTTCCTCTCTGTACAAAATCAATAAAATATATTTTAAAAATAAAAAAATAAAATGCATGCCCTGCCCACTACACCCCACCCCTTGGGCCCTACACTCCCTATCTCCTCTACCTTACAGTCCTCAATTAACATCTGACATATTTAATTCATTTATTGTCTGTCTCAAAGAATGGTAATTACATAAGAACAGAATTTAGGGGTTAGGGGGTGGGGGGGTTGTTCACTAGCACAGCCTGACAGTCAATAAACATGTGTTCAATAAATAACCTATAACAAAATTCTGGAAATAATCTAACTATTCATCAATACATAAACAGCTAACTAAATTGTAGCACATCCATCCAAGAGAATATTATAATTAAGCAAGTTCATTTGGATAAAGCCCAGCAGAACAAAGTGAAACACAAGGTTGAAATTTTTTCTGATGTCTATATGAATATCACAGCAAGGATGTTAATTTTGAATTCCCATTGCTTCAGTTGTAAACAAAAATGACTAAAAAAAATATTGTTCACAGTAAAAAAGAAAGAAGTAAATCTCTGTGTAGTAACGCATAATGAGAAGTGGTGAAAAAATGTCACAGAACATCTATATAACACACAATGTAAGTGCCATTTGTTTTTCAAAACCTGTATCTGTAGCTATGGAGGAAAAGATTTGAAGGAGACATAAAAAATAAAAAATAAAAAGACATTCTCTCAGAGAAAGGGCAGGGATTAGGGAGTAGGCTCAAGGCAAGCTCATTCTTTTAACTCTTCATTCTTCATTGTTTAAGTTTTGTTACTTCAAAAAGCATGTTAAATTTGTAATAAAAATAATCATTACATTTCAATGAAGGCATATTCTAATAAAGTATTTTGGCTTTTAACAAATACTGCAAGTATATATTTTTTAAAGCCTTTAATTAAATGTACATTTTTCATTCAATTTTTCTATTATAAAATATTCTCCCTCTTTAGAATCATAATGAATATTTTTCCTGTAATTATTCCCTGTCCCTAAGCCCCAATAAACATGTAGTTATTTATTGTTAAAATGGGTTAGGGTGAACACTGAAAGCAAGGCAAGTAAGTAAGAATAATTACCCTCATTAAATCTGAACTGAACCACTCACCTTTTAACTAACAACAAAAAAAAAAGGCAAGACGGGTCTTTAAAAAAAAAAAGGTTATTTTATTATTAGAATTTTCCCCAATTCAAATGACTTCTTCTAACATCCTATATAATGTTATATAATAAAATAAAGAGGTAATATGCAAATTGACCCTCACTCTAACACACGATGGCCACCCCCCTTGTGGTCAAAGATGGCTGCCCCCATGTGGAGACAAGATGGCTGCCAAAGGATGGCCAGCAGGGGAGGGCAGTTGCGGGCAATCAGGCCAGCAGGAGAGGGCAATTGGGGCCAAAAAGGCCTGAAATGGAGGGCAGATGGGGGCTATCGGGCCTGCAGGGAGGGCAGTTAGAGGTGATCAGGCCAGCAGAGGAGGGCAGTTGGGGGTGATCAGGCCTGCAGGGGAGGGCAGTTGGGCGTGACCAGGCCTGCAGGGGAAGGCAGTCGGGGGCAATCAGGCCAACAGGGGAGCAGTTAGACATCAATCAGGCTGGCAGGAGAGTGGTTAGAGGGTGACCAGGCTGGCAGGCAGAAGCAGTTAGGGGCAATAAGGCAGCCAAGTGTTTGGGAGCCAGCAGTCCTGGATTGTGCAAGGGATGTCCCAGATTGGAGAGGGTGCAGGCTGGGCTGAGTGACACACACACACACACACACACCCATGCACGAATTTCATGCACTGAACCTCTACTCTTATTTAGATCATTCCTGAGTACTGGAATGCTGTCTCTCCTTTCCCTCCTGTCACCGGCTAGGGAAGCCATAGCACCCACAGGAGAAAAGGAGGGACACAGAGCATCACACACAGAACTGAAGTCGTCCACCTCCCTTTCCCCTGACTCGTTACTTCAGGGAGGTCAGACCAGCCTGTCATATGCTCAGCTCCGCATCTCTCTCAAAGGTCCCAGTCTGAGCAATTCATTGTATGGTAACCCTAAGTAGACCCTCTGATTCTTACCACCCCATTTTATCAGAGAACAAGAGTCAGGAGAGTTGCTGATATGAGGCAGGGTTCAACCAGAGCAGTGGAACCAGTAGGAGATATACCAGTATATGAAGAGATCTACTACGAAAGACTGTTTTTTTGTGGGGGCTGGCTAAGTAAGTCAACATCTGCAGGACAGGCCTTCCAGGAAGGGCATGCTGGAACTCTCAGCTACAAGCTGGAGCTGCTGTCCACAGGTGGAATTTCTCTCCTGTCAGGTCTCAGCTCTGCTTCAATTCAGTTTAATTATCTAGAACAGGGGTCTTCAAACTTCTCTCATTATGAGAATCACCTGGTGGAGTTGTTAAAACACAGATTCCCGGATCCCAACTATAAGAAGTGCTATCAGGAATCTGTGTTTTAACACCTCCACCAGGTGATTCTCATAATGAGAGAAGTTTGAAGACCCCTGATCTAGAACAATCTTCCCAATGTAAAGTCAACTGCTTGCGGATTTTAATTACATCTACAAATACCTAGATTGGCTGAAACCGGTTTGGCTCAGTGGTAGAGCGTCGGTCTGCGGACTGAAAGGTCCCGGGTTCGATTCCGGTCAGGGGCATGTATGTTGGTTGCAGGCACATCCCCATTGGGGGGGAGGGGGGTTCAGGAGGCAGCTTTCTGGTGGTAACTTATGTTTCTCTCTCATCGACGTTTCTAGCTCTCTATCTCTCTCCCTTCCTCTGTAAAAA